AACAGTAAAAATAACATCCATGAGTTTTTAACACGTGTGTGAAGTTGACCCCCCATATCGGGCAAATCGATCCTGACCAATTGTAAGTTAAAGATATTCATTTGTAAGTATTTGTAAATTGGTTTTCAGAATTTGTAAGTTGGTCCTCACTGAGATATCTACAGCCCTAGATATTAACCACCAGCCCCCCCATATCGGCCGAATTCATCCGGACCAATTGTAAGTTAAAGATATTCATTTGTAAGTATTTGTAAGTTGGTTTTCAGAGTTTGTAAGTCAAACCCCTACCCTCTGTGGGTAAATATAAGTGGCAAAATATCCTAATACCGTTATTTGTATTTTTTAGTCATTGCTTATAAAAAAAAAAATAATAATAATAATAATATTCGGTACGTACTATAATAGTGATATTATCTATAATTAGAGCCATTTGATATTTAAAATTAAAAAATAAAATTTGTTATAACTATTCTGTGCAAAATTGTTATTCTCTAAAAAAACAAAAATATTAGACATCATAAAACTGGTAAGTAATACTAAAGGGAAACACCCCAAAGCTAACACCATAAGCACGAAAAATATTCAAAGAATTATTAAAAAAAAAAAATTTAGTAACTAAATAGAATATTTAAATAATGTATTACATTGTAGTTAATTATATGATCATTTTTCATTATTAATAGGTTTTAGAGCTTCCGGTAAATATAGTCATCTTGAAAATACAACGAAAATTTCACAAAATTATGCAGGAAAGGTTTGGTTGAAACTTGGAGATATTAGCAAGATAATAACAATTAATGGAGATATGTACAATTTAAGAGGGGTAATTGCTTTTGATGGATCGGCAAGACAATTAAGACAATCATACGGCCATTACATAGCATATGGTTTGAGATCAAAATGATCAATGGCAATGCTATGACGATTTAAAGGATCAATCATTTAGTCAAAAGGATCGATGAACAAATTTTTTTTTTGGTGGTTACAAATGATTACAAATGATATTACATAATTTGACATTAATTTCCATTTATAAATCGTAAGTGGCGGGGCCAGGGTAACTAACCTTAATTCAATGGCAATTCAATGTAATTTTTAATGTAACCGAGGAAAACGTGATCTGCTGAGTGTAAAATATGTCATATTACACACTTCTAAAACGGAGACAATACATATGGGTACCACGTCCTCTTACTACCTACTTAGAAAAAACAAAAAAATGAAGCAAAAACAAGAATGTTTAAGAAAGACCAGTTTTAAACAAAATTTTAAATTTTAAAATTTATAAAAATTGAAATTTATTTATTAATTGTTTATTAATTTAATTTTTAAAAACATTTTATGAGACTTTAACTTATAGACAGTCTTAAAACAATATGAACAGTTAGACATCTAACCTCACATTTCCACAGCACATTACTCCGATATAACTTCATTATTATTATTATTTGGTACACATACCTACAACGATTTTTTTTCAATAACATTACAATTAATATTACTAATTTAAGGTATTATAAAAGTACTTACCTCTGTTTTCACTGTTGTAATTCGTCACTACCCTCTCTTTAAAATGCATTACAGCTGCAACAACTTCACTTGGCTCAATTAAAGGTTTTCTTCCAACCATTTTTAAAATGTACTTTAATATATTAGTTTAACAAAATTGCTCAAACAATCACAATATTTAAAATAGTATAGACTGCAGCTGACAGTTGTTATACGAATGACTGGTATAAGCAAAATGAATTAATCCCGATACCAAAATTACTTAAATCGATATAAAAATAGACACAATACCNAATAATAATAATAATAATATTCGGTACGTACTATAATAGTGATATTATCTATAATTAGAGCCATTTGATATTTAAAATTAAAAAATAAAATTTGTTATAACTATTCTGTGCAAAATTGTTATTCTCTAAAAAAACAAAAATATTAGACATCATAAAACTGGTAAGTAATACTAAAGGGAAACACCCCAAAGCTAACACCATAAGCACGAAAAATATTCAAAGAATTATTAAAAAAAAAAAATTTAGTAACTAAATAGAATATTTAAATAATGTATTACATTGTAGTTAATTATATGATCATTTTTCATTATTAATAGGTTTTAGAGCTTCCGGTAAATATAGTCATCTTGAAAATACAACGAAAATTTCACAAAATTATGCAGGAAAGGTTTGGTTGAAACTTGGAGATATTAGCAAGATAATAACAATTAATGGAGATATGTACAATTTAAGAGGGGTAATTGCTTTTGATGGATCGGCAAGACAATTAAGACAATCATACGGTCATTACATAGCATATGGTTTGAGATCAAAATGATCAATGGCAATGCTATGACGATTTAAAGGATCAATCATTTAGTCAAAAGGATCGATGAACAAATTTTTTTTTTGGTGGTTACAAATGATTACAAATGATATTACATAATTTGACATTAATTTCCATTTATAAATCGTAAGTGGCGGGACCAGGGTAACTAACCTATTGAATTACATTCTTATACAATTTAAAGTTAAGTTTATAATCTAGGCAACCTCATAAGCTCTTTATTATATTTTTATTTTAAAGCGTGTTATGAATATTTTAAAATTATAAATTGATTACAAATACCTATACCTATGACGATAAATAAGATCAATTGTGATGTTAAATACTTAGTCAACATATTATTGTTTATACATTATTAATTACGAAAAATACTATAGTTGTTCAGTGGCGAAACTAGGGCTAACATTTTTGGGGGGGGGGCTGTAGCCCCCACCTAATATTACATGAAAAGTAACCCGTGGGGCGATGCCCCCACACCCCTATATTCACATAAGAATATAAAAAAATCATACAAAAATATTTATATTGATTTACTCAAATTTAATAGTATAATATACTAGTATATTATACTAAACTGTGGTAATTAAAATAAAAATTTCCAGACTACAATATTAGTTTATATTACTCACAAACACATGAAAATGATTGAGCAAATATTTTTAAAACGCTATAATTAGTGTATAAATGACATTATTAATATTTAATTACAAATATATACTTTTAGTATAGGTATTAGGGTATACAACACTTTATAATATACACTGTGCCTACATAGTACCTACTTATCATTAAAAAAATCAAGTAGAGATTATAGAAATATATATTCAAAGTTTAAATATATAGGTGTAGGTAGGTTTATTGAAATACAGTATAACTTATTTCTTTTCTTATTTTGTTTTAGACCTAAAAGCCTGACAAAATTACGCATACTTAAGATAATCAGATTTAAATTCTGTACAGATATTTGAGTTGATCAACCTTTTTTCTAGGTTATTCTGAAAATCGATTTTTGATATTTCTTTAAAAACTGTTCTTAATTGTTAGTTTAGTTTTTAAATTTTTTGATTTACTTTAGAATCTTTTTCAAGAAAGTTAAACAGTTATTCTAAAATCGACTTCCACAATAACCTAGAAGAAACGTCAATCAATGATTTTACAGAATTGAAATCCGATAGTTTTGAGTTGACGTATTTTTGTAAGGTTTTTAGTTCTAGATTGATTAAAATTAGTTTCATTAAAAAAAAAGTAAGAAATACAGATTAATTTTTAAAGATTTATTATATTTTAGGAAACAAATGAATAATTTATTTTGAGGGGTATATTACAAGTTTGGGGGGGCTAAGCCCCTCCAGCCACCCCCCCTAGTTGCGCTTATGTAGTGGTTACTTATTTGTATTTATTTAAGTATACTTCTATGTCCTGCCAAATAGTTAAACAATATGTTGACTATAAGCAGTCTTGTAAAGTATTCGAATACAAGTATTTGAATACTTGTATTTAAATACTTTTTGAAGTATTTATATGGTATTCTAAATACAATTTTTTTTATGTATTTTTTTAGTATTTTGAATACTTTTTAAAAGTATTTTTAACAAAATTTAAATACTTAGGTATTTATATTGTTATAATAACCTATTTACTTGGAACCTTGTTTTAAATTTTCAATCCTTAGCTATAAAAGTTGAACATTTTATACATTTTTAACTACAAAATAATTTGTTGATGATTGTTGTCGAAATTCGATGTTTAAATGCTTATAATTTATAAATAAACCAAAATCAATTTTGTAGAAATTCAATTTTGCGTAAAAATTCCTGTTTTTTTTAAAATTTTTTATATGTTCCTCGGCGCTTTTGAAAACTACTGATAATTTTAAATTTTCGACCTCCCCAATGCACTAACTAGATTCATTTTCCCATCGAACTAGATACTGTTGAAGAAAATCAAAGCAGTTTTACTCCCCCTAACGGTGATGACCGACGCAAAAAACAAACGCATCATTATAAAATCAATGCATTCTCATTGCTCCGTACCAGCATTTTTTCTAAAGTGTCTGAATAAGGTTTTAAATTCAACGTTCTATATACATTTACTTGCAATAATTATAAAAATAATTAATGTTATACTACAATATACAAATAATATGTTATATAAATTATAAGCGTTTAAATTTCAAATTTTAAGTATCGTAAATTTAGTTACAATTAATTTCTTTCATTTTCAATTTTAGGTTTAGTTGTTGCAACTAATCCTGTATGGTATGACATTAGCTGTTACCTAAATGGGCGTATGAATGGTGCAGCATTACATACATTTGTATATCGTGATGCTAATGGCATTAGAGACAGATTAGGCCTTGTTTCTGGTCAGAACGATAAAAAGAACAGTTTAATGACAGAAGGAAATAGTTCACATGATGATGGTAAATAAATTAAATATTATGTCAAGTTCGATGATTTTTAGTGACTAATTCACGAAAGGTTGCAACTCAACAGTAGAGTCCTAATTTACAGTTATGACAAATAAAAAAAATTAACAATTATAAATTAAATAAGTTGATTTATTCTATAATATTTAAATTTTTATTCTTTTTGGAATTAAATATTACAAAAATAACAATAGACTTTTTCATAAAGTAGTAATTTATAATAGGTGCCCCAAATAAAATAAATCTGTATTATTGCAAATAATATTAAATAGTACGAAACAATTAACTCATTTTTATAATAATTATAATTTGTTGATATTGTAGTGTCATGATTTTTTTTTTAAATAAAATACATTTTTTATTTATTTTATTAGACACGACTAACAATACTTATTAAAATGTCTCATACTCTGATTAGGTAACATAACGATTTTCAATAATGTATATAAGTAAGTAGGTATAGGTATTGGCATACATCCATATATTATTTTAAATATGGAGTGGTAATAACTTGGGTCAGTATTAATCGGATATTTTTCTAATAGAATTAAATATATAATTAAAAAAAGTATGAAAACAAGAATATTATGTTTGAGTAGGTAAATAATTTGTATACATTGGATCCTAAATAAATTATCAAAATTTACCTAAAGTTAGGTTTTAATAGTTTTTTAAAATTAATTTGTAGATGATTCTAGTGACGATAATAGTGATATATCAATAACACTTCCATCGAAAAAAATTGTATTCACGTTTTCGCCTGATGAATGGAAAAGTTTAGCTCCGGAAGAAATCCGTTACAAAAGTAACGATAAAAAACGCTCTGCACAAAGTTCAAGAATATACCATATACTGCCAAAAAAGGAATGGACACCATTATTAGCTGAACATTTTTGGGAGCATACTCAGCTACCTTGTTGTCTCTCTTTTCGCCGAGCAAAAGTACATCCATATGGTAATTTTTATATAAAAGTTGTCGGAAAATGTACTATATGTGACTCATATTTCGAAGGTATTGTGTACGAAAGGCCTTCAACAGCTGCAAGGTATTCTTAAACATATAATTGATTTTATTATACCAATTTTATTCCATTATTTTATTATTTTGAAAATAAATTTAAAGTAACTTAATTTGTATTTATATTTATACTAATTTTTTCAGAGTTCTAATGGAAGTTTCGTACACAGGTAATTTCAACGAAGTGCATAAGGCGAAGAAACGTCGCATGATTGGACCTGCACAATCAAAAGCAATTGCAGCTATGATTAATGACGGTCGTTCAAGCGAGTCATTTCGAGAGACAGAAGCAGTACGGTTGATGAAAATAGGTAAAAATTGAATATTAATATTATTAATATAACTGTATTATTTATCATACTTTAAATGTTCATAATTTTTTGATCTAATTAATGAATATCCAAAAATATTTAAAAATATTTTAATAAAATTTTCTCAAAAAAATTATTAACCTCTTCGTGCACAAGGGTATCATATGATTAATGTACCTACACTTATTTATAATTAATACAAAAATAATATTTAAAAATAATAATTAATAAAAATTAATAAAAAAAATGATTAAAAATTAATATTTAAAAATAATTAATACAATCACGTAATATGTTAATATTTAATAAAAAAAAATAATCGACTAAACGTTACTTAATAAAGAAATGCTATAAGTACTCAATAAAAAAAGTTTTGGATGAACAAAATAAATCTAAATAGAAGTAAAAATGATTAATTAAATAATAGGTAGGTACAATTTATAAATTTAATTCAAAAAAGCGGGTAAGTGGATGTCGCTCTGCTGTACATTAGGGGGTGGGATGGACCACGGTCATAGAGTAGGTTACTATAATGTGTTTGTTAAATTTGAATGCAATGATAGGCATCATTGTATACGAAAAACGATTCTGAACGGAGATGATTTGTCAGTCTAGGATATATTATATTTAAATATTGTTATTATTTTATTTTAACGCGTGAATTTTGATTTCGAGAAAATTTAAACAACTGTAAAATTTTTTTGATTGGATAATCCTCAATTTTTTTTATAATTATTCTAAGCTTAACTTATGGACAATCTTGAATTAAATTTTCAAGTCTTAGCTTTAAATGAAAAATTTTTTATTAATTTTTAACTTCAAAATAATAAGCAAATATTCACGATTTTGATGAATTTTGTCAATATTT